CATAAGGTGACATTACGGCAAATGACCAAAGGCTTTGTCAAAGTGTTAGATACTGTGGAGTATCATTTTTTTAAAGCATCCAAGGGTTATGGACATTGCCTGCTCGGTCAGTGTTTATTGCCCATCCCTCAGAGCCAGAATCAATCACATTGCCTGGGGTCTGGAGTCATATGTGGGCCAGACAAGGTCAGGATAGCAGTTTCATTCCCCAAAGGCCATCAGAAAACCAGATGGGTTATATGACAACCAGCAGTGATTGCATGGTTGTTACTATGCTAATTTTTTTAATTCCAGATTTAAAAATTAATTCAAATTTCATAATCTAAGAGGCTGGCATTCAAACCCATGCACCCAGGACATTAACCTGGTACTCTGGATTACGAGTCCAGTAACCTTACCACTAAACCACCACTTACCTCTTTTAAAGGAGGTAAGAGAGGAAAATAAATGGAAAGGTTTAAGGAGGAGATCGTAAAACTTAGAGCCAAGGTAGCTACAGGCAAGCTGCCCAATAATGGAGAGATTAAAGTTGGGATGTTCAAAAGGTCTGAATTGAGGCATCTCAGAGGGACTCGAAGAGATTGGAAACAGAGGGAAGACTGAATCCAGAGATTGATTTGAAACAAAGGAAGAGAAGTCTAAATTATGGATGTTATTTAGATAGGAGGAAATGTAAGTCAGCAAGGGCCAAAATGATGGCTGAACAAGACTTTACACAAGTTAAAGCAAGGAGTGCAGACTTATGGGTGAACACAAGTTTACAGAAATTATAGAGGTTTTCTGAAGGGTGACTGGACTCAAAGCGTTAATTCTGCTTTCTCTCCACAGATGTTGCCAGACCTTCTGATTCTCTCCAGAAATTTCTGTTTTTGTTCACAGAGGTTAGAATGTGGGAGGCCAGCCAGGAGTGCAATGTGAACAAAAGGTCTCACAGTAACATGAAAGTGTTAGCAACAAATGAGCTGAGTCAAGAGCAACATTATGTGGCAAATGGAAATAAGAATAGCAAGTTCTAAATGACAAAGAGTAGAATAATAAAAATGCTAAAGTTTCAAAATCACATGAAGTAAATACAGGATGAAATTTATCATTTGTGCATTAATTTGATTATTCAGTTCATTTGGTACTGTACAACAAGAGATCAGCGGACAAGCTAGTTCAATGGTAAAGCAAGCATAAAAGATGAAATATTCTGTTTCTTTTTGTTTGTTCCACTGTCCCAATGTTTTTAACAGCCAAATCTCAGAATTTAAGAAATAGAAAATAAACTTCCCTTTCTGTACTGCATTTCACGTCTTCATGCAGTTTGCAGCCACAGGCGTTTTGTTGAACTGTAATTGCTTTTGGAATGTTGGAAGAATTTTAAAATGGAGATCATCTGTTTCTGTAATGTGGATTGAGGGATAAATATTGGCCAGGAAACCTCCCCTGCTTTTCTTAGAAACAACGCTACAGAATGTTTAAGTTCACCTTACAGACAGGACCTCAGAATCACAAGAGGGGGACATTTGGCTCATTGTGACTATGCTGGCTCTCCCAGTAAGCATTCAGTGCTATTCTCCTGCCTTCGCCACATAACCCTGTATTCTTCCTTTGCAGCAAATAGTCCAATTTCTTTGTCATTATCTCAATTGAAGCTGCTTCCATGCACTGTCAGGCAGTTTATTCCAGCCCCTAGCTACTCCCGAGGTTAAGAAGATTTTACACATCCCACTTTTCCTTCTTCCACTGATGACTTGAGATCTCTTGATCCTTCTATGAATCAGAACATTTTTTCCCCATTTACTCAGCCCAGGCCCTTGGGGATTTGAATATTTCAATCAGATCTCTTCTCAGCCTTCTTTTCTCAAAGGTCAACAGTCCCAGCTTCTCCAGTCCATCTTCAGAATTGAAAATCCTCATTCCTGGCACCATTCTTGTTGTCCTCTTCTACACTGTTTCTCCTGACAGTGAACACCCAGAACTGGATCCATTACTCTAGCTGAGCCCAAAGTAATGTCTTGTTAATAAAGTCTCACATACTTTATTAACTTTTATCTCAACCTCACCTGCCACCTTTAATGATTGAGGCATGTCCATGCCCAAGTCTCATCCAAATCCACTTATCTTTCCTGGGATATCAGCATCACTGGCAAGTCCACAATTTTTTGTCCATCCCTAATTACTCTTGGGCTGCCTATTCAGAGGACAATTAAGAGTCAATCACATTGCTGTGAGTCTGGAGTCACGGGGAAGCCTGACCAAGTAAAGGTGTCAGATTTTCTTCCCTATAGGGTGTCAGTGAACAGCCCTGCTTTTACTAGATTTATATTCCAGAACGAGATTTATATTCCAGATTTATTCATGAAATTTAAATTCCGCCAACTGCCATGGTGGGATTTGAACCCATATCTCCAGAGCATTAGTATTGATTCTGGAGTTCTTATCCAGTAATTATCACATGCCACAATGTAACTTTGAGGTGAGAATGCTGCCAACTGAATTAAATTTACTTACATTTTAATTAGTTATATGTTTCTTTTTGCAGTGCATGTTTTTGAACTTTTGGTTTACCTTCATTCCTATTCTTCTCATGGTCAAGAATTGTATCACTCTTTGTTATGATATTATTGAGGGACCATGTGACTTTAAATCCCAATAACTATTCTGCACAAGCAACCATGATTTTTATAACCTGACCAGATTATTCTTGGCAGTGACTAATGGAAAATCCTTCGTATAAACATTACTGGGGAAAAATAGGTTCCTGCCCAGAAAGCAAAATTAACTACTGTGAAAGCAAAAATGGGAATTTGAATCATTCACCATGATCTCCATTCCACATTTGAAAGCAACACCATAACTCAAAGCAGTAGAATTCTGATTTAGCTCCACTGAGCTACCTCATGAGGAAAATCATTATAAATCGCTGACTGTTTGTCATTTTAGAATCCATGAGCCAGTAATTTCAAGTGTGCATAATAATCTTACTCCTAACTAGATTTTCTTGACTCTTCACTGACCTTTTACATGCAGACTGTTGCGCAAATTAGCAGCATCAGGGCCTCAAACATTTGTTTTCTGTTTTGCAGTTCTTGTAATGACATGAAGGCTTTTTTTAAAACTGCCCTGTTAACAAAATTGCATTGCTGACTGAAAAAGAGCTGTCTGTCATTTCATGCAGCAATCACATAATCAGCATTTCGACTTCAACTCTTCATTAAATGGTTGAGTTAATTAGCTTCAAAAACAGGGATACCATAATTTATAATTTAAATGAATGCAAGAATGCACTAATTGTCCAATCACAAATCGAGAGGCGAAGGCCTAGTGGTATTATTGCTGGACTATTATTCCAGAAAGCCAGATAACATTCTGATAACAGATAACGCAGCAGATGGTGGAACTTGAATTCAATAAATATGTGGAATTAAGAATCTAACAATGACCATGAATCCATTGCCGATTGACGGGTAAAACCCACCTGGTTCTCTAATTTCCTTTAGGGAAGGAAACTACCATACTTACCTAGTCTGGCTTCAAGCAATGTGCTTGACTCTTAACTGTCCTGCGGGCAATTAGAAATGGGCAATAAATGCTGCCTAGCCAGCGACGCCCTCATCCCGTGAATGAATAAAGAAAAAAAATCAGTCAGGCTATCAGTAACTCAGATAAATGAGGAAGACTTTGCTATATTGTGTCATTCTCTGAAAGAAAGTGAAATGTTAAAGTGGTATTGCTGATAATGTATCCACAATGTACATTGTATAACACCTTGTCCGTCCTGTTAATTCAGTATTAATTTATTTTGGATCTAAGTAACTATAGAGTGTCTTTGCAAAGGAAAGTGCTACTTCAAAATGTGAAAGGATGCTTGAATAAGCAGTGTCAAGTAATTAGGTTTGCTAGATCAAGTTCAAAGATAGATATGAGAATGAAGCTATTGAGATAGATTATTAACCTGAGTGAATGGGTAGATTTAGATGTGAGTGGGGCAACTACAGATTGCATAGATGCAAGAAATTATAAACCAGCTTGAGATTGCATATCGTGAGAAAATAGGATGATGGGCAACTGTACTTAGCTCTGCTGACTTGATAAGACAATTAAACTGTATCCTGCTTAAAGTCCAAGAGCATGATACAATCTTTCTGCTGCTGAACTGTTTAGCCACCTCCAGCCTAGCCTGCTTAGTGTCGGCAGTGGATATCATCCTCTCATTACTGGGGAACGAATCTGTCTCCAGCTCTTCATTTAACCCAGCAAGACGGGAAGGGGGCCATCAGTAAACTGCAATGCAGCCTTTTCCAGTCTGGTGAGAATTCTCACAACATATCTTGTTACAAACTCACCAGAGTGGTTCTTTAAATATGATATTGAGATTGTGGAATGTCAGTCCTCATTATTCCTGCAAGTGCACATTGGATGGTCAACCAGAAGTAAATTGCTCATAGGCTGACAAAGTTAGAAAGCCAATGGCAAATATGCTGAATCCTGTTTTCTAGATTTCCCATGGAATATTGGAATCCCCACCAACCCCATCCCAGCTTAATACCAGGGCATTTGGATTCTTTCAGAATGCCACATATTCCTTCAGAAATGGAATAGGTTTCCAATAGTTGCAAACAACCTCTCACACTGAGAAATGACACACCCAATGTGAGAGGAAGACTTCCTTCAGTTTGAAGTTCATAACTTGCATTTTTATCAATTGGTTATTGAAGGTAGAATCAAAATTGGAAAAGGGTCCAACCAGTATCTTTACAATTAGAAGAAAATGTGCTGAACCATTGCTGTGAATAGAAAATGGTAATTGAAACAGATCAATTCTGGTCTATTTAATCTTTGAGTCCTCAGTCATATTTACATCCGGTACATATATGATCGTCAATAGTAGGGGAGCAATTAGAGTGTGCAAAGAAAAACAAAAATATGTTTTGTTATATTTTGTCTGCAAACTGTCTTTGCAATATAGTTTGCAGTATGTTCTTGCTATTTTAACAGTTTTTTTTGCATTTCAGCTTGAAAAACCAATTGTGAGATCCTTCGAGAGCAAAATTATTTATTGAATTCAACTTCAAGATATTCTGTTCTTCTTCAGGGCATCCAAATTTTATTCAATGCAGAGATGATCATCTTTCTCAAGAAGCATTGGACACCTTCATAAACTGGTGTTTCCTTTTTTCCCCAAAGTAGAAGTATCTCAAGGGATATCTGTCACTCTGTGTTGGAAGCAAATTCCATTGGTTATAAACTCGGCACAAGAGTAAACAACATGTTTTGAAGGAAACTCGTGTCTCTTCAAGCACATATTTTCAAGCACTACAGTTGTTTGTCACCCAGATCATTCCAGGCTGATGGATAAACAAGACTGCATTCCAGCCAAAAAATACCCGAAGCATTCTTTTGGAAGTTTTGACATTTTTGAAGGGCTGCATTGAAGGATTTGCATTTGTACAGCAAATTCCATGACAGAATGTTCTGAAGTACTTGAGTATCAATTCAGTATTTTTCAAGTATGTGATTTTTGTAATGTAGCAAAATGCAAAGTGGGTACAGCAAGATCCCACAGGCTGCAGTGAGATCATACTTGCGAACAACACCAGCAGAATTTGCCTGCTGCTTAATTTTGTTGGGAGAACACTTACATCCACCTGAGAGAGTAGATGGAATTTTGTTTAATGTTTCATCTGTAACTTGCACCTCTGACAGTGCACCTCTATCTCAGTATTGCACCAAAATGGCAACCTAGACTCTGTGCTTAAATCTGTGGACAGTATTTTGAGCCCAGGATCTACTGGCTGAGAGTTGAGAGTACAACAAAGAAATTGGGTTTAATGGATGGGGAAACAGTCTTTCCTGGATTGCAGTCTGGCTCAATATAACAGGATGAAAATCCCTTCCTCTTTGATTGATGGGACCTAAGTCGGCATTGTCAATATAGTTTCCAGTTTTTTCAAGTCCAAGAATTAAAAATTCCCAGTTGTTCGAAGGTCAGAGAAAGGAAGCAGTGCACTTTATGTCCAGATGCTTTCCACGATCTATTTAAAACAGATTATTACTGTTACGAAGTTAATTAAACTTATTGACTAGCTTTTTAGTAACAGGTCATTCGGAGGGTGAAGGTGGGCATCTGTCACGTTCAAAGTTTTACATTGAAGTGTTGATCACATTTGTTCTCATACATACCAAGTATGTTTCTTGTGAGGACTGGGGTGCATTATTCAGTTTTGTAACCCACTGGCAGCACCTAACATGTCAGATCAGACATGGTCTGCATTCGTCTTGGTTCTAAACTTAGTAAACTTAGATGAATGCCCTGAATTGAGGCCAGATACTTTATATCAATTTGCCTCTCTGACCTACATTAACAATTTTCTGCCAGATCATAAATGGGTTTTGTGCTGAAGGCCGCATCCACTCTTAGCTGAGTTGAGACTGTTGAAAGAGGTTTCACACGAAACCTTTACAATCAACAAAGTTCTCACCTGACAAGCTTGGCAGTATTCAATCAGCTTGCTTGATTACAATGCAATTAAGATAGAAACTGAAGCCTGGACCTATGAGCATGTGCTCACAAATATGATCTCATGTTATATTAGCTAGCATGATGAGAACTTCAAAAGTTTTCATATTTCTATCTGCAGATATTTTCATACCTGCTATTTAAAGGATTAATGTCTTTTGAATGGTCAAAGGGCCTTCATGGATAATTTCTAATGTGCTAGCTTCAATACTTGTTGTCTCGGTCAAATGCACTAAGTCTTCTCAGAATGAACCCCTTTGTTTGCAGAGAACTGAGATGTGGCTTTGTCAACTTGGAATGCAATGAGAGCTCTGGAAGTTATTTGAAGTATGCTGTTAAAGTTTCACAATTTAAGATAGATACATAATCTCAGTTAACAAGGAAAAAAAACAGTGTAAATACTCTTAAGTCCCCAGTACCAAGAATGCTAATTTTTATTGCTAATTTTTTTGATAACATATAGATACGAACACCGTGAGGAAACCCTTTAATCATCGTGATGCAAAAAGCGCCATATGCAAAAAAAATCATTTTCTTCAACATTACATATTTCAGTTATCAAGGGAGAGTTTTAAGTCCTGATTAACTCTTTGACAACTAAAAAGTTTACATCACTCTGAGGAACCGTGTCTGCATAAAATTTCTCAATCAAGTTGAATTGAACATCTCATGAACCTAAATATTTTTTTAAAAATGCTAAAATGATGACTGCACATGTTCACTGATTGCCTGGACTGTTGGAACATTTGACAAAGTTACAAAGAGAGTGTACTGTCAATGATAGGGGTCAATCAGTCTTGTCATTCAAAGCTTGCATTCTGTCAAATAATTGAGCAGAACCAGTCAGACTCCAGAACAAAGCTCTCGACAGTTCCAAAATAATCAAGACATGGAAATGTTGAGAAATTAAATAAATTTTGATGATTAAAAGAACATGCTGGAAAAGCACAACAGATCTGGAACTGCCCACAGACACTCTGCATAGTAGACAGAAGAGTCACTGCTTCTTATCCAAGGCCAGCATTTCAAGTAATCCAATCAGAAGTCTTCAAAATATTCAAACCTACAAAATTAGAGCTGGAGAAAGTTTTACAGAATGACTAATGTAGCTAGGTTTCGGGGTCCAGATGAAGCTGTGAATTATCTAGTGAATATTTTTCAACTTTAGGCCAGTAATTCACAACAGGAAATCTGTTGGACTGTGTTGAGGTGGTAGTGGCATGAAGCCCTCATCAGTAAACTGCTGCAACCCTCTGAGGTGTACAGATCTCTGTGTAAATCCATGCTGCTGCTTTTGTTTGACAACTTATTGGTTAATTCCCAGTGTTCTCCCAGGGAGAAACTGTTATGTTCCTGGCTTTGGATGTATGACCGAATTTGACAATGTACTGTAAATAAAATGCATTTAGTTTCCATGACAATCCGTGCATTTCCTGGTTGCAATAAACTATGATGTTGACCAAGTACACAGTGTGTCTTTACTGTATTAAAAAATGGCAGCCGCATCTTTAAAAATGCAAGGTACTGGAATTGATGTTTTGTTTTGTAGAATAGAGAGGAGGATTTAGATAAATACCATTGAGGATTGGAGGATCTGATCCAAATAAAGAAAACTTGCCATCACTGAAAGTTTTATTGCCCTTGAAAAACAATGTGAAGGTCACAACTTGTAATGCAGGAAACCACAAGGGTCGAAAGTAAGTACCTGTAGTGCTTTAGATAAAATTCAAAAGCTTTTTAAAATGCATTTGTTCGTGAAATGCATGTATCACTGGCAAGGTCATTAATTGCCCATTCTTAATTGCTGTAAATAAAGTGGTGGTGAGCTGCCTTCTTGAACTGTTGCTGTCCATGTCATGTGGGCATGTCCATGGTTAAGAAGGGATGAGGATATATTTCCAGGTCAAGATGGTGTGTGACCTTTTGGAGGTGGGGTGGGTGAGGGGAGTTGCAATCTTGCATATGATGGTGTTTCCATTCACCTATTTCCCTTGCCTTCTAGTCATTACAAGATGGAGATTCGGCAGATGCTATAAAAAAATGTTTGGGAAATCGCAGACGTTGTGTAAAACAGAGAGACATGATTGGGTTGCCTAGTTTTGAGTGCAAAGAACTACATAATCAGTCTTGCATGCAGTAACGTGTAGGAAGGAGGAAGGATTTCTCTGAGGGTAAGCTTAGAGCTCAACAGAAAGTGGAGAAATTCATGTGAATTTTGAAAGAGTATATTGATAAATTCTGATAAAACGTCACAGAACTGAAAGGATGATTGTGTCTCTTTTGATTGATATCACTTGATTTGCTAAGTTTTTCAAGTACTTTCGTGTTTTTATTTTAAAACCATTATCCGGATACGACAGAGTAACCTCAGAAAATCTTCCTGTGATGAGAAAAAAGCAGTCATACCTGGAGTTGAACTGGCAATAAACATACAGACAGCAAGTTTTTCCCTTGTACTCTGCCCGTGAATATTACAGCATTATGATGATAATCTCCTTGGGATAGGGACCATCCTTAGATATTTAACAGTCAAGTTTTATCCGTAATTATTGAAGGCAAAAGAAGTACTTGCTTGAAAAAGGAAACAGCTTTGTGAAGACACCTTAGCAATGAAGAAGGTAACCGATGCATTTTAGAACCTATAGGATTACCACTACCTGTATGTTTCACACCTGGTCACATACCATCCTGATTTGGAAATGTATCGTCGTTCCTTCATTGTTACTGGGTTGAAATCATGGAGCTCAAACTGTGCGTATACATGCATCACACGTACTGAAGTGACTGAAGAAGCCAGCACACCACCATCCTCTCAAGGGCAATTAGCAATGAAAAGTGAATCTGGCCCAGTCAGCAACAGTCACACATCCCATGAATGAACAAAAAGATTGTCTCTCTGCTTATGCTGAAAATTCTCAAGCTCATTGCAAACGAAGTAACTGTTAAGATTTTTTTAAAAAGATGTTGCTCAGTGTGGGCTTAAGTGCTTTAATTGGGATTTTATTCCTCATGATGACTTATCTGTAGCAAAAGATCCATCGAAAGTCTATTCTTCTTGTGACTCATTAAAACTCTGGTTCAATGCTGTAATCCGGGTAAAATGATCTTGTATCTACAGTCGATAAATGCCCGGTATCCAATTTTCAGTTTAAATACTGCTCGTTATTTTCCCTTCAGGTATCTATTCACAAACACTTGTAATTCCCTGTTTGCATTATTTGCCATGTTTCCAGTTAACCTCTCATGTTAATCATGACAGGACATGTTCCAGCATCATTATAAGTCATCTCTAGTTATCCCAACTCCCCTTTGCAAATTGGCACAAATTATTAGGCATTACACTAATTAGTTGTTCAAGTCTTAGTTTGAAAGAGACCACCATTGTTTTGCACAGCTCACAATATGTGAAAGAAGATCTAAAATTAAATCTACATTACCTATGCAGATAACCTAATAGTACAATTTATTATATACATTAGATACAGAGGGTGGAATCTTCTGGGTCAGCTGGGAGTGTTCAGTAAGATTGGAGGGGGAGCTCTATTGAATAGGAGGCCAAAATTCAGATTCCCAATTTCGAGTTAAAGATGTGGTGAGGAATTGTTAGGATATTTCAGACAGGTCAGCCTTTCTCATCCTGGATATCAGGAACCACATTTGCATTTGTTAGAATTCCTTTTATTCACTCATGGGATGTAAAGATCACTGGTTGCCCATCCCTCGCCCTTGAGAAGGTGGTGGTGAGCTGCCTTGAACTGCTTTAGTGCATGTGCTGTCAGTAAATGCACAATGCAGTTAGGGAGGGAATTAGCCAGGGAATGCAATGAATACTCATAAACAGGCCAGCACACTGGAATTATGTTCACAGGTGCCGTCTTGTTCAGCAAAAATGAGAATCGTGAGTTCACAAACCTGACGATATCGATTGCACGTTTGGTGCTCAGAGCTGAATGGTAATATGCAGCCACAGTCCTGAGCAGGAAAGGATTTCATTCCCTCAATGACCAACGTGTTTCTGGACACAGGCAACAATTCCTGCAGGTATTCGCCTGCTATCCAGGGAGCTGTCACGTTGCTTAAATTCTATACAACTCTCAGGCTCCTCCAATGCTCGCTCTACTGCTTCATCACTGCCTTGTGTGTGACAAGGGATATCCCCAGAAGGCATGGCCAATGTCTCTAGTGCAGAACACTCGGAATGTAGAACAGTGTTACAGTTCAGTACATTCATCCACTTGGGCCTTCCTCAAATAGACAACTAATCAACTGAAGAATAACTTCTATTGAAGGAGCACTCCTTTATCCTGGGGGGCAGGGTCTCCAGGATATTGTGTGTCTGCTGCGCCCTGCAAATCATGCCTGCACAACAGGGTGAGAACATGGCAGAGGTAGAGTTCATACCACCACCTGTCTCCTCAGACAGGATGGAGTGGAATCTGATGGAGATGCTGAGGGAGGCAAAGATGATGCTGGTGCTGAAGAATTCTGAGCAGCACTGAGACATGGTTGGCTGACTCAGGAGTATCTTATTGTGGCTTTGATTTAAGATTGAATGACCTTGGACTACACATGTTAGTGGGAATCAATTGTGACTGAGAAACATCCTGAAGGGACTGTTTGCTTTCTACCATTTAGACTTTATGTTTTGTCGTATGGCATTCACTGCAACTTAGACCATAAGACATAGGAGCAGGAATTAGGTCATTCGGTCCATTGCGTGTGCTCTGCCATTCAATCATTGCTGGTAAGTTCCTCAACCCCATCCTCCCGCTTTCTCCCTGTAACCCTTAATTTCCTTTAAAATCAAGAACTTATCTATCTCTGTCTTAAATATGTTCAATGACCTGGCCTCCACTGCCTTCTGTGGCAATGATCCATAGATTCACCACTCTCTGGCTGAAGAAGTTTCTCCTTAGCTCCGTTTTAAAGTGTCTTCCTTTTGCTCTACCATCGTGCTCTTGGGCCTTAGTCTCTCCTGTCAATGGAAACACCTTCGCAAAATCCACTCTGTTCAAGCCATTCAGTATTCTGTAAATTTAAATCAGATCCCCCTCATCCTTCTAAACTCCACTGAGTATAGACCCAGAGTCCTCAAAAGTTCTTCATATGTTAAGACTTTCATTCCTGGGACCATTCTCATGAACCTTCTCTGGACCTACTCCAGGTAGGTATTGGGCCCAAAATTGCTCATAGTACTCTAAATGTGGTCTGACCAGAGCTTTATAAAGCCTCAGAAGCACATCCCAGCTTTTATATTCAAGTCCGCTAGAAATAAATGCCAACATTGCCTTTGCCTTCCTAGCTACCAACTCAACCTGCAAGTTTACCTTAAGAGAATCCTGGACTAGAACTCCCAAGTCCCTTTGCACTTCAGATTTCTGAATTTCCTCCCCATTTTGAAAATAGTCCATGCCTCTATTCTTCCTACCAAAGTGCATGACCTCACACTTGCCCACATTGTACTTCATCTACCGCTTCTTTGCACACTCTCCTAATCTGTCTAAATCTTTCTACAGCCTCCCTACCTCCTGAATACTACCTGCCCCTCTACCCCTCTTTGTATCATCTGCAAACTTAGCCAGAATGTCCTCAGTTCTTTCATCTAGATCATTAATGTATAAACTGAAAAGTTGTGGTTCCAATTCTGACCCTTGTGGAACACCACTAAAGTCACTGGCTGCCATCCTGAGAAGGACCCTTTTATCCCCACTTTCTACTGAATAGCTGCACAGAGGCCAGTGTCCCATCACCAAGTCACCCTCTATTTACTTGTGCGCAATACACTGGCTGTGGCCAGCCAGCTCAGAATCAGTCCTCAGCTGAGGAGATTCTAATCTCGTGGTTGTTTTGGTCAGAAGACAGCCAATCTTCTATCCATGCTAGTACCTTGCCTCCTTCACCATGGCCCCTTATCTTACTCAGCAGCCTCCTGTGTGGCACCTTGTCAAAGGCCTTCTGGAAGTCCAGGTAGATAACATCCGTTGGCTCTCCGTGGTCTATCCTGCTTGTGAACTCCTCTTGATGAAACCATGCTGACTTTGCCCTATTTTACCATACATTTCCAAGTATTCAGAAATCTCATCCTTCACAATGGATTCCAAAATCTTACCAACGACCAAGATCAGGCTAATCGGCCTATAATTTCCCATTTTTGCCTTACACCCTTCTGAAACAAGGGGGTTACATTAGTGATTTTCCAGTCCTGTAGGACTGTCCCTGACTCCAGTGATTCCTCAAAGATCACCATTAATGCCTCCACTAGCTCTTCAGTTATCTCCTCCTATATGTGGGTGTAGTCCATCTTGTCCAGGTGATTTATCCACCTTCAGTCCATTCAGTTTTTCTAGCACCTTCTCCTTGGTGATGGCCACCATATTTTGCCCCCTAACTCTCTTTAAATTTTTTGGCTATTACTCGTGTCTTCCACTTTGAAGACTGATACAAAGTACTTATTCAGTTCCTCAGC